TATCGTTGGCTTCATGAGATGTGAGTTAGGGTAAGTAATATATATCTTGATGAAATATAGTAAATCGTACCTCTATGGATGATTCATTGTGGATGATCGAAATAATTCAAGTAGTGTGAATCTAGTTAAGAATTGTTTCTTTTAGGTGTTTTAGCAGAATGTGCTGAAAAAGTTATTGGTGCCTGCTGCGTATACATGAAACAATTTTCATTGTAAGAATTCGAGAGAAAAAAACGGAAAGTGATTATTAGGAATTTTTCACATGAAAATTCTGCTTCAAAAAATTGGAAACGCGTTCGAATCGCATTGTGTATCAAACATTTTTGCATTACTTAATCAATTGAGTGTGTTTAAAATGTCTTTCGAAAGTGCCTCATTGTTCGTTTCAAGAGTGCGATACATACATAATTCACCATGTGAAACTCGCTTTACTGATCATTTAGGTATTAACTTCAGAAAGCATTTTATGAAACGTCTTCTGTCTACACACAACTTATCTGCGATAAATATTCGCTTTTTCTTGTAAGTTTGAAATGAAGTCTGAACGATTCTCTGAATTGAATTACACCAGTTGTGTTGAAATGTTTTTTCGTTCGTCTCGTTTCAACAATGCGTTCATTTTCTTAATGCGTGCTGCCCCCCCACTCCATTTGGAAAAGTTTTCCTTACCTCCATTAGTGAATTATTCGATAGCTGGTTATTCCATTCGGGTGATCTATAGCTCAGTTATTTGTTTGAATTTCAAATTAATCTTCTTGATACCTGCCTCTGAGCTTGAATGCAGTTACGTTTTTTTCGTCAATGTTCACCCTTTTCCATCATTGTAATCACTTTTATCATGATTGTTATTAATGTGGTTATTGAATTGATCATTGTTATTATTGTGATTATTATTGTGGCCGTTTTATCTCATTTTATTTATTAATCCGGTCAGTATTCATAAACTTTATGGTGCTATAGAAAACGTCAAAACAGAAATGACTTATTTTTCACTGAGGTTATCATTAAATTTTGTCAGCAACAGCAATAATATCGTATCGTATCACAATCCAGTTTCCTCATATCAACTCAACATCTTACTTCCAGTATTGATATTCTAACGCAGGAGTTTCCTTCTTTCCAAATTTAATAAAATTCTTTCCAACAAGTATCATACAACGATCCTAGTTTCGAAAGGTACGCATAATTCAGTCGAACCTGAAATATTCCACAAAAAGTCACATGCGTTCTCAAATAAATATTCACCGTAATACACGACAATTGTTCATGTGTACCTCTTCATATGAACGATCACTGAATATTTCTGTGGGTGCAAAATTGTGTTTATTCATTGACATTAGATTTATGAGGATATTGTTCGTGAAGATGGCTCGATAAGATGGCTTTTTCAAGCACGTATCTTGTTTTGTTTTTTTCCGAATGATTTGATGTCAGATTTCGTTTTTTTTNTTTTTTTTCTCGTAAAAAAAGTCCATGAAATTGTTGTTTGTTTACTGATGTTTAATTCTTTTATCGACGAATCCATACGTTCAATTAACGATATTAACTTATGAATGCTCATTGATACAAGCATTCATAAGCTTATCGTACATCGCTATTGTGTCCATTTGCGTGAAATGATCACTGCGTGATAAAGAAAGTAGTGATCTTAAGAGGGTACCATTATTGGTGATCAGTAAAGGTGGTAGTTGGGATCGGATCGAACGAGTGATGCCCATCTTTTCCTGTATACCATTTGCATGTTCTGGTCATGTAGATGTTATCGAGAAGCGACAGTGTAATTTGCACGATTTACCGATTGAAGTGGAACGATGTGCGAATTCGTTGGAGGAATTGTATCTGGATTGCAATCAAATATCAGACATCACTGAGGTAACGTTGTGCGTTGCATTCGGCACTTTGATTGCTGTTTTATGATAGAGTTTTATTTTGATGAGAAGTGAGTGCGTTCTTGTTTCTTCATTTCAAATTGTGCGTTGATGAGTTCGAACAATGAGCCAAAGTTGTAACTTTTCAGTGTAAAGTTTTTTAAGCACAAAAATGTATCTTGTTTTTTTTTCTCCTGAATGGTTTGATGTCAAATTTCGTTTTTTTTCTCGTAAAAACTTTTTCAGCGGAGCGAGGAAATTTTTTCTAAAAGTATCCGTTGTTAAACATGTACTATTATTAGTGAAATGAAAAAATATTTCGCAAAGCCACTTTCAAATCAATCATTTCATACGATAATTTCTTTATCAATCAATAAAAATACTCCCGATTATCAGCCGTAATGAGCTCATATTTTTATAAGTTCCCATCGGGAATGATGTAATCGCAGTCATCTGGGACAGTTGTCTCAATGGCTCTTACTCATAGCAATCGCCATGTTCATAAATGAATCGAGTGAATTCGCTCGTTTCAAGAAGTCATACCAACAAAAACATCATTTGAAGGGTTTGTGTCGATGCAAAAAACTGAAATGTTTGTCGTTAGGTCAGAACAAAATTCTACGCGTACCGCCATCAATCGGCTCATTAACGGCGCTTGAAGAACTTCACCTCGAAGATAACGGTATCGTTCGTTTTATCAAATTATCCATTCTTTGATAATTTCAAACTGAAAGTCATTCCATATGCTTATTGCTGCGTTCTTTTATCATTTTTATCATGCCATGCAATCGTCATGTCATTTGACACTGCTTCAATCAATGAAAGTCCGAGTTGGATCGATTGCTCTTTGTTGAATATTTGCTTGCTTACAAAAATTGGGTGTAGTCAAGTTCATAGCCGAACGTGAGCACAACACAACAAACAATAAGGGAGTTGAAACATATGGAATGGTAAAGGCAATAAGAGTGTGTTTGGCGGCACACAGACACACCTCGTAAAAATCAACGATCGCGTGATAGTTGTAGTGCACGAATGCAGTTGTGTGCTAGTGAACAGAAATATTATTCTGTCTTCGTTCCATTGTTTTTATTTTCTTCACAATGCATTTGTTCATCAACGAACAATTCACGAATATGTCCGCAAAAATATCGGCAGTGAATTGAAATTCTGCGTTTTATTTATTGCCAGACGCTGGGATAGAATATCATCAAATCCGAAACGATGCATTGCATTGTTTAAGTGCCTGGAATTTTTTGAATAACGATCATGAATTCCGAAAAAATAACAAAATTTCTTCATTGTTGCATTTCAGTATCATTCGATTTTCTCATCTCTTACTTCTTCATTAATTTCAAATTTTTCTTTCGTATTCACACGGACACACACCTATTTTTCTTTTCGAATGTACTATCCTGGAACTTTCTTGAATCTTAGTGCTGATGTCTTAAAAGTACAATTGTCAGATTTTTGAGCATTACCTTTAATGTTGCACATTTGTTTTAGTGCTTGTTTTTAGTTTAAACAAAATCCACAAGAATTATGGCAGATGCGGAGCTAGTTAAGAATTGCCTTGCGATAATTATCGAACATATGAAAATTTAGAATGGCTGAAGATTAATTGCGAAGCACTTGCAATGAAATCGTAGGGGAATGGAAGATGCGAACTGTTCTGTTTTTTCCGTCTGAAAAATGGGATTAAAAATTTGTTCGGGAATGAATTATGAGTCAGTGCAATAATTACATGAGATGATGAATGACCGTAATGATACACGAATTTTGATCTTATTGCTGTTTGTTGTGCTGCTTTGACAGCAGTTCAGCCAGAGCTATATTGAATATGTGATAGAACTTTTGAAGAATTTCGTACGTTTCTTTGATGGAAATCTTTTTTTTNTTTTTTTTGATGACCTTCAGATAGAATAACGTGAAGCTTTTTACGTGCTTCATTCTTCTTCTCGTTTTATATCTTCTTTTTTATTGGGCCTATCCATCGTCGTGTTCACTCTCTCCATTCTTTTCCAACCAGTTTTAGGATCGAGTGGTTTTGTTTGAAAATGCTTGATTTTATGTCGGTTCGAAATCATTCACTATGATTCATAGCTGTTCATCTGAGAAATAAAGCAAATGCACAATATCCAACGTAAAACAGTCAGGGTTAAATGAACAAATTGCACTGAAGAAAAGTGCGGAAATTGGCTTGAATACGATTTTGGAAGCTGTTGCATTTGGTCGTATTCAGTTGATCTTTGATTGGTTGTGTATTGGGATTTTGGATGTGCAATGCGAACACAGTGATAATTGTGAAAATGCAAAGGACTTTTAGTTTTTTTGCGAGTACTTAGAATATTTGTACTTAGGGTACTTTTGGGAGTGCTTAGAGCATTCTTATCCTACCATTAATTGTTGCACGTTCTCTGGTGCGAATCAGTCTGAGGTCTCATCTGGAGATAGTTAATCTCATATAAATGCTGTGTGAAGATTTATTCAAATGAATAATTTTATGCATCTAACACTTAAATTCAATTTATCAAATTTATCTTCACTTTACTGCTGCCTTCAAGTTGAGCATTACATAAAATTCAGAACTATCCGATCTACCGGAAGAGTTGGTGAAATGTTGCGATTTAAGAATACTCGACTTACGACTCAATTTGTTGACAAGGTTCGTTTTCTGGAAATTTGTCTACCAGTTTTGCGTTGAATTTTCGTTCCTACGGAAATTCTAACCTAGACATAAAAAGTCAGTTTCTACTAAAGCGTAATTATAATACATAGTCAGTCTTATTTGTGTTCGTAGATTTCGATGAAATGACTTAGCCTTGGTTTAATTTACAATTAGATAGTTGGACTGTCTAATTGTAAATGGAGCCTTAGTTTCACCTTCGTATTCATGAGTGATCTCACACCATTGTAATTTCGCATTATCAAACTTACCGTTTTCATTCTCAGATGTGTACATTATAATAGAATGTGAAATTTCAGATTACCAGAAGTCATCTCAAAGTTATCTTCCCTAACGCATTTGTATCTGTTTGAAACATCATTAACACAACTTCCACCAGATATCGATAAATTGAAAAATCTTCGATCACTTGATGTTCGTTCGTTTTTACTTTTGTTTCGTGCATCATTTTTCAGTCATAATTCATTCTTTNTGTATTTTTGTTTTCGAAAAACAACAGAGAAAAATTTTTGTTCTTTTTCGCTTCATTTCCACCGAATAATGCCGTATGGAATTATCAGCAAGAAAAAGGGAATTCACTTCGTGTAAATTGAAATGAATCGAAATCGTGAATGTAATCCTGGAATTTAGGTTCGTGAAAACCAGCTTCGTGCACTGCCTCCAGCTTTGTGCCAATTGAAACAACTCAGAGAATTGGATCTTGGTCGCAATGAACTTTCTCATTTGGTAATTCTTTTCAGTTTGCGAGCAAAGAAAAAATTGTTTCCATTTCTAATTCATGCGAAGTCGCATGCTCGTAAACATCGAGGTGGATGATAATGTGGGATAAATGTTTGTAATTAATTGCAGCCGTTGAATCTGGGATCGTTGGAGAATTTAGAGGATTTATACGTGGATCACAATTTATTATCATCGTTACCGGATTCGTTAACAAGCTGCGACAAATTAAGAGTATTGGATGTATCGCAAAACGATTTGTGTTCATTACCAAAGCAGATCGGTGATTTAAAGTTATTGGATGAATTGAACATCGCTGAAAATCGTATTGCTCAGTTGCCAGAAACGATTGGTATGCAATGATTCTTCTATTTTATTTTCAGTTTTTTAAATTGCATTTTTGTTTTTCTATTGTTCCATTACAATAAGTTCGATTATTCGAATGATACAAATGTTACTCTCACTAGTGCAAAATTTCTTATTTGAAAGCCGTTTACTTATAGGTGATATATAGATGATGATAAATGATCACTATCAATATTATGACATATGTGATGAATTGCTGAACATTACCTGTTTCTTCGAGATTATTTCCTCACTTTTGTTTCCAATTTCAATCTCAAGGAATTCTGATATCAACGGTCGTATAGAATTGANATTTAAGGTTCTCTAAAGAAATTAACCTTTCTGAAGGCAGATTCAAATGCTTTGACAGAATTGAGTCCAGCGATTGGTGATTGCCATTCATTATCTGAAATATATCTCTTCAATAACCAACTCACGGTCGGTGCTTCTTTTCACTGTCAGATTAATCATATCAACTGATATAATGCATAGCCAGATACCCATCATTTCATATTTTATTTGTTACTTTAGATTTGTCCGCAATTGATCATGAAAGTAATTAATGTGATTAAGTAACAATTTGTTATAGCAAACTAACGGCTTGTGTTGCTTTACTCAGTTTACAATCATTTCATCCTGTTGAACGTTAATGTGTTGATATTTTCAGACTCTGCCAAGTTCACTTGGAAATTTGAAAGAATTGAGTGTGTTGTCGGTTGCTGAAAATCAGCTGGAAGAGATTCCTTCAACGGTGCATTCTGCTTTTCTTTGAATCATTAACACTCAAATTAATGTTTCTTCGAAACTTAAATCTCTATCATGATCTAACTCAAATGCGAAAATAACGATGTAAGTAAGTGTTCAGATCGGTGGATGTACGAAAGTATCCATATTGACCTTACGTGGTAATCGACTCCGTCAGCTGCCCATCGAGATCGGTCGACTCGCCAATCTACGAGTTTTGGATCTTTGTGATAATATTCTTCAGTTCCTTCCGTTCACCATCAACGTTCTCTTCAATCTTCGAGCACTTTGGTTGTCTGTTGATCAGGTAAGTGCTACGAGTGCTTCTCTTCAAAGACTTTGTTTATTTGATGAATATCATCTCAATTTCCATTCATACTATTATCACTTCTGTGTATATTTTTCCAAAAAAAGTTTGCATTTTTCGTTCTCTTTTTTGGCATATCTCAAGTATTCTCTTTTTTGTTATGTTATTGTTGAATTACAGACATCGCCACTGGTCCCATTTGAATCGGTACAAGATCCGGGTACACACGTTAAAGTGTTGACCAGCTACCTTCTGCCTCAAGGGAAATGTGAAGGTTGTTTCATTATGTTTTCGGTTGCTTATCACTGGCTTGAACGAGTCGTCTTTTATGGAAATGAGCTGTCATATGACATTAAGTGAATGGTGAGTTTTTGAATGAGCGAATTTTTCAGAAGAAGCTGGAATAGTGACACATCAGCGTAGAACAACATCTGGAGTGAATGTGAGGTTCGGTAGTGAAGAGGGCGATGTGAGCGGTGAAGATGAGTCTGTCGGACATTTCGAACGCAAGGGAACACCGCATCCCAAAACACGATCTCGTGCAGTCACTCCACGTCGACAATCTATTGATGGCCATTTCATACCGCATAATCAGACTGTACGTGTTTCACTCCATCCGATATAATCGCAGAATAATTTGTTGCTATGATTACCGCTTATCTCTTAAGTATGGTTGGCTGTTGTTATTTGAGTATGTACAATGGATGGCGTATCAATTTCTTGTTCATATTGTATTTGGAAAATGTATGCTTTTCCAAAGAGAAACATTCTTTGAATACATGCTCAAGCATAAAAAGTGTGCTGTTTCAGGAGAACACTGCAGATCTGACGTTGTCATTGCGGCGTAAAAGTGCTGGTGATATGCCGAATGCTGAAGGAAGCATCCAGAAGTCATCGAATCAAGCGAATGGAACGAGTGCGGAACGGAGCGGAGCAAATTCATTAGTTCGTTGTCAATTTCATTTCAACAGCGATATAGGCGCATCCAGACTGTTTTTTTTTTGGGCAAATTGTCATCATATATGATTGTACAACCAATTTCTGCAATGACTTTTATTGTTCGCTGTTTACTGCATTCATCAGCCGAGTTCATCAGTTTTAGGCGCCAATATCCGAAAGTGACGAGAAAATGAATGTCAACCAACTGCCCGATTTGATCGCCAATAATGATTCATTTCGATCGGAATGTCGCATAATGGTTCGTCGAGATGAGAGAATTGGCTTTGGTTTGTCAATTACAGGTGGTATTGAATGTGAACCGTACAAGGTTTTTCGTTTCTTTTGTCTTGTCCTTTTTAGCTAAAATTTGTATCCTTTGTTTTTGTAATGGTTATTGCTTCATTTCACTAGTTGTGTTTGGATACAAATAAACGTTTTCAATATTTATTTTCAGGCGGATGATAATGGATTGTTCGTGTCTGGTGTTGTTGCAAACGGGCCATCGCAGTCGTCTGGACTTATGGTCGGTGATAAGATTCTGTCTGTGAATGGTCATTCAGTTGTTGATCAATCACATTATGTAAGTCTCGTATATATCTCGTTAATTAATGCACCTCATCAAAGCTGTTGAATTTACTCAGTGTTATTGCTCTTCTTCAGACGGTTGCTGAGATGATGCAGAAGGTGGATCAAGTTGAATTACTGATACAACGTGAACAGCAACCAAGCACGTCCTCGTCTCATTTAGGCGTTCGTTCTTTAATTATTCCATAGATCATTTTCAGGTTTTCATTTTATCACAAAATAGCGACTTGATTGAATGAAATCAACTTCAGTAACTTAACCAGGGCTCTTCTGGAGATAGACTCTCATTTTCCTTACATTTATTCGACTGCATTTCGTTTGTACTTATTGTTGTTTCACAAAGGTGTTTTTATGCACATTTCTCCGCAATCCCGTAGAACAAATGAAGATTTTTTTTCTCACTTACCTGTTTTATATTGTGTAATGGTTTGTTCGAATACTTTTTGGATGCGTTGTTTGTACGTTTGTGTGACCCGTAAACGTATTCACAAATGAAAATATTCGGCATGCGAACAAATTTTTCATTGCAATTTTTTGAAGAGGAAAATGTTTTCGAATATATTAAAGTGTTTTGTACCCAATGAAAACAAAATTGGACGAAATATTCTGATATTTCAGAATGATGATGTAAAGAAGGAAGGAACAAATGAAGAAAGTGTCGATGAGAATAAAAATCCAAATGAGACAACCACTTGCGAGCAGTTGATCTCAACAACGATTCAGCGCGATTTGAATGGGTCGTTGGGATTTGAGGTGGATGCAGATAAAGGGAATTTGGTCGTGAAATCGATCATATCGCCATCTGATACGCTCAAACAAAGTCCAATTCAAGTTGGCGATCATCTTCTATCGGTTCGCTTTTTAGCTTTAAATCATTTCTCCTTTTGCTTTTTTCAAATGAAATTGTAATTTTATGTGCTCGCTTCAAGCTTTGCTTACAATCAGCACATTCGACGTGCGCTGAATTCCGATCGTATTATTGATTTAGATCAATGGCAAAACGCTAACTGGATCACATTTGGATGTAGTGAAAGAGCTGATGTCTGATGAGAACTCGAATGAAGTGTATGTGGTTGTGAGACGTCAACAATCGAGCAGTAAAGATCGTGGATTCGTGACGAAATCAGATTGCTCGTTGATATCGAGTGTATCTGAAACACCGACAGAAGGTGCGTTCACGACTGACACACAAACAGATCAGTCATTCGGAATGGATGATAATGCTGAACAGACGATTACTGCTGACATTTCAACTGTACGTGTCGAGGTTCGTTCGAGTGAAGAAGTCGCTAGCGAGGCGATTCACACACAAGAAGCTCGAGATCAGTGTTCATCAATCAATGCAAATATACAGCAATCGAATGCAACATCTGATCAGGTGAATTCGTTCATTCTTTCGATGTGTGCTCAATATGCACGCTAGTAACCTCCGAGCAATTGAAAATTCGCTGTGTGAAGGAACTTTTGGTGAAAGAGCAGGAACGTTCTTTACTGAGGGGTGATTGAAGCAACATTTCTTGTGCACAACAGTCGACATTTGCAGCTGTGTAAAGAGGAATCTGTAGTGATTCTTTTTTTTTAATGTTAGGACCATATTCTGATTACCACAATCAATCGAGAGGTACGAATTTAGAAATATCATGAAACTTTCTCTGAATGATTACGAAGAGCTGTTGAATTTAGAAGTCGTCTGATGCTCGCAACAATCTACAAATATCATCATCCAATAATTTGTCCTCTTCTCAATCAGCAATTCGTATCGCTCCACCTGTTGCACCCAAACCAAAAATTTCATTCATCAGTAACAATAACACTGACAGTAATAAAATGAATGGAATCTCAGAGGTTATTATTCCTGATTCATTTCAGCTGATTTTTCTGTCAATCTCTTGTCATTTTTAACACTCGATGGAGATGAAGATGTAAAACTAAACTTCATCAAAAAAAAAAACAAATTTCTGACTTTATAATTACAACTAAAATGAATCACTTCTCACTGATTGCTTTCTCGTACACAAAAAGATTGTTTTATTCAGGTTCTGAATCAGCAAGTTGTGAACAATACAAGCGAGCCCGAAAAGATGACAATATTGTCTAAAATCAAAAAATTCGAAAGTGTTTCACAAGTGCCAGAATTGGAACCACAGGGAGATGAACAACAGCCTTTACCTGGTAGAGCACCTGCATCGTTTGAAATTCTATTTGATTTTTGAACAGAGAAGTTTTTCAGCAGTCGTGATAATGTGTGGAATTAAACTAATGATAGTTCAAATGACTGTGTGATTGCAGCCAAGAAACCGTTGGTGAGTGCGGCTGATATCGAAAAGATGAAAGAGGAAGAGAATAAGAAGTTGGCGAATTCCTTTTCGATGGATGTCGATGAATATTCAAACACTGATTTCTCATTCGAGCACTTGCTCAGTAATAAGTTAGTTACACACCTTTTTTCATTGTAGTTATTGTGCTTTGCTTTCTATTAAATCTCCGAGTTGTTGAGCTGAAATTCGAATTGAAATGATAGAGAAGAGCAGAGGTTTGCTGCATAAAGTGGAAATGTTTTTAGGTGCAGTGTATGGTTGAGTTACGAAAACAAACGCTTTCTCATTGATGGCCAATGTATTTTTTGTTGAATATATCGCCTCAATTTACTTTCAGTGCTCTACCAAATTCCAGTCCAGCAATTGTACGCATCAAAGAAGCTGCACATCGCTTAATTACTGCGAATGGCCATGGTGAAGAAGCCGTTGACGGTGTATCCATTACAGCGGCGTCTGATAAGTCGACAATGAAATTCGATGAAATGCAAAAACGTCAAATGTGGAGACAGGCGAGGTGACACATTCATTCATCTGTATCTTACCGTTCAAACTTTGAATTGTTTTCTAGAATATCGTCAACTTGTGTGGTTATTCTTGGATAGCTTTTCTTTATTTAGTTGCAGTTGACATTTCTAAAAGGTTCCCTCATTTTAGTTATTGTTCATTGTCAGCAACAACTCATCGTGGTTAGACATGTGTATATTTGAGAATCTTTTTTTNTTTTTTTACAGTAAGGCGGTTTTTACAATAATCTTTGAAGGTATGAATCGCTGGAAAAGGATACGGTCGAAGCCGAACGTTTAATGGAGCAAGTTCTTGACATTACAGCTGTTAGTCGAATTTTGAATGATCCTTGAAAGCAGTTGATTTTGAAATCATTCATTTGAATTGTTTTGTTCGTTCCGGAAAGAGCGTTTAACATTAGCGTTATGATGTTAAGCGATACGGTAATATCAGTGAAGAAGAGAGTGAACGTCAGTCGTCGATGAACGTGTCGAGTGAAGAGAACGAATTGCATTCGACGGATTCGAATCTGGTGGATGACGAAAATGACGCAGCTGCGGTGATCCTCAAAACAACCACCACTGTTGGCAGTCCCTACCAGCAGCCCTTGATTCCGCTGTAATTCTCGCCTTGATTGATTGTTTATGAATCTATTCTTGTAAGGTGTCAAATCTGTCGCTATCGTTTTTGGAAAGTTTCTGTCATTATGAGTTTTTTTGTTTCACTCGTTTCTACTATTAACTTAATCTGATCTTCTGCTGCCATGTCCAGTTTTTTTTAAAGAAATTTTTCCGTTGCATTCATTCATTATGGTTATATACAAAGCATTTTCCTGTAAAGTGGTTAGATGGATTGATTCAGCAGGCACTTCTTGGCGATTGATTTTAGAATTCACACTGTCTATTTTGCGTTATTTTTCCATTTGTAAGCATCTATTTTTGTTCAGCGTTAGCGTCACAATAAGTAAAGTAACCTTTTCAAATTGATCATTTGATTATGATTTTAAATCGCATTTTGATTACCTCACAGACAGCGTTGTTGTCTTTCCGCAGTGCACAGTGCTGTTGTTTCGTTATGTATTATCTCAGTTATCATAGTACATGTTTGTGATGATCAGTTTCTTGTTTGTTTTTTTTTNTTTTTTTTTAAATCTTATCTGAATGACAAATGTTTGTTTTGAGTTGTTCGTTAATATCGTTCATTCAGTTTTAGTAAGATTTTATTTTATACGTTTTGATCTTTATCCAGTTTTACATTTTGCACAATTCTACGCTTTTTTTACTGGCTTGCCAGTTGATTGTTCTGCATATTTGACTAGTATTATCACCGACATCATATAGGCTTGTTGTAGTTGTTATTGATAAAGACGTTTGTGTTTGTTGCATTCATTCAAATAATGTTCTCTGTTACTGATTGTTCACTGCGAGCGTTTGGTCATAATGATAAGCGGGACATCTTTGGAAGAAAACAATTTGCCCAAAACACATGCTTCAATTGTGTATGTGAACATCTGTGGCTTTTCACTTTGCATTTTGTTTTGGTTTAATTTCTTTGTTGATTTCTGTTTAATCATATTTGCTATAGATCGATTGTTAACTTTTCTTTAATTTCACACCTTTCATCTGTATAATGTCACTCGTTCTTCTCTTCTCATGTATCTACTTTAATTGCCAACTCTTATGCAACATCAAATCTGAATGATATTTTCTGTTTATTTTACGATTCACCTCGTATTTTTGTGTGTTAGTATCAACTCTTTAAAGCAGCATTAATTTTGTTATTACACTGTATAATTGTTGTTCATTAAATTATCATTACGCGTTGTGAAACACAGTCATTACATTTCCGTTCAGTGCGGTCAATTGATGGTAGGGAACCAACCACGTTAAAGTATTTTCGTTCGATCGGTATTTTTCGAGATAAGTCTGAAAATGAGGCGTACAATCATAGCTATACACAACCGCAGTTACACAATCCTTTTTCATTTTGTTGGTGACTGATCAGATGATATATGTGACTTCTTCAAAAATTATCCATCTCATACGAATACATAGGTATCATTTCTAGGATCGTCTAGTTAAAATGTGGATAACACCGTATAGAAATCTGAGAAATCCTTTTGACAGTCCATAGATATGTGATTGTGAAAGGTTTCTTTTTTAAATTCAATTATCCGATCGTTCTTTATAGTGGATCTATGAGATCACATAGATCAACTATGTAATTTGTTGTGAACAGTCAAAGCAGTTAGTTGAGAAAAGAACTGATAGTGAAAAATAACTTGAATTAAGCACGTTTAACAAATTTTCAGTGCACTGTTCCACTTGTTGAGTGTTTTACATTAAGTGCTATCTAATTCGTTGCCATCGGACGGGATGCATCTACATCAAGTCTGTACTTTATTCAAATACTATCATTACAAGGGACATTAATTAATTATGTTATTGTGTATTTTTACTTGATTTTTGAGTAAATTTCTCTGTTTCGTCTACCTTATCATCGACCGAAGTAACGCTTCAGAATCAGGATGAGGATCTGATTTCATGATGATAAGTTATGAGTGCACACAGTTTCCATTAAAAGATATGAGGAGAATTCAGATAGTGGTGGAGAGGATGTTTTAAGCAGTGTCGCTACCATTCGTATCGTGTTTAGACCAGGGCTTACTCCGGAGTAGCACTTTGGAGTAAAGTGCTTTCTGAGGTATGTATAACCAACCACTTATTCGAAGATATATGGTTCATTGCGTCATCTTATCGATGTTCTCGTATTGCGTCCTTTGTGATACAGGTGATTGATGATCACGTTGAATTCGGCCATATTCCAGTGTAAACGGTTAAAATGAGTAGTCTCACGGCACAGCTTCTGCGAAATTTGTATTCTACAAGTGGTGCTAACAAATCGGCTATTTTCAACACTGTCCGATTATTATCAGATGGCGCTTCTAATGGACTCGTTAGAAGAGAATTACTCAGCAAGAACTCTATCGTGAGGCTGATATTGAACGATCCACAGAAGAGGTTTATTTCTTTGTTCATTTAATCAGCCATCGATGCTTATCACGAATAAAAGCTTCTATATTAGC